GTACTGTGAGAATAAAGATGGACAATTAGAAAGCCAAAACCTCTTTTTTCAAGCCTTTCTTACAGATTGGATTAATTACTGAATTCTTCAATCAATCATGTTCCACACGTTCTTGTCTCTACAACTTGTGAATTAATTTCAAAGTTAACCCCTGGTGATTTATTAATACTCCACACAAGTTACATGTGAAATACATTATTTCTGTAATGAAGTACTTTATATTTAGGTTCCTATTTCTGCTCTGCAAGTTATTTCAACTCACCTTGGCCACCTGTAGAAGAACAACGATAAACTGCAATTATCTCCAAACTACCTCTGAGAAAAGAAAATAAATAATGCATTGTCAGTAACATAAGGGTCATCTGGTATATCAAAATTTCTAAACGAAGTGTGAGAATTCTGCCAGAACCCCCATGAAGAGGATTATAAATTTTTATTAGTATTGGCATCTGGTTAATCTCTATAGCATTATGGGGTCAGGTAGAGTATTAACACTTAGATGCCATTAGCTATAAAGCTTTTCTAGATGAACCTGTTATTAGTGAAATCATTTTTGATATATTGCTATCCAGAGAGTTTTCGAATTTCAGTCGGTACAGCGTGAGAAAGCAGCTATTACGAGGTGAGTTTTTTATCAATTATAAAACTAAATACCCGGAATATTTGAGAAAAACAAAATTATGAATGCTTCATGTATTTCATTTCTCACCATCTTTTGTGAAGAGTGTAGATCAATTGAGAGTATAAACATAAAATCAATAAACTGAAGATTTAATAAGATCTTTCACAAGTTGAAGACCCTGCCACGTCAATATATTCTTCGATGTTATAAAAACAGTGTTGGAGAAGAAACTCTTTAAAATTAAATTGAAATTTTGCAAGGCTTAGTGCTTTCAGAAAAAAGTGAAGATGCATATACAAATGTGAGTTCAGTGAATTTCTCCCACTAATTGTTCAAATGAAATATTTTTTTTTTAGTTTCAATTATAAATGCCCGAATAATAAACAGTTTATAAGATAGATTGTAGGTATATTTTTGTAAATACATATATTTTATGAATAAAGGTATTACAAAAAACTAATTGTTAATTTGTGTCTGGGTTTCATGAATCATTAGTAAAACTTTATAGATATATAATGATGGAAGTGACATAATGCCAAGTTGAATAAAAAAAGGGTGACAGGGTTCTTTGTTATTTGCTTTGGCTATTATTCTTAAGACTTTTTGGGACCTGAAAACACTAGAAACCAGTAGAAAGTTTGCTAGTCACAGCTTTGATCAGTCCAGTTCAATTTATTATCAAAAAAGTTCATACTTTTACTTGGATGAATATTGAGATTGGAAGATATAATTATATCTGAAGTTTTATTTACATTCAAAGTCAGTTTATCAGCAGCAAACCAATTATACGCTAATATCTCGCGTCATTAGTTGTGTCTTTGCTAGTAATAATAAAACAATAAAGTCGTTTCATCTGCTAACAAGGTATCTTTTGCTGCTGATTTCATAAAACTGCATAGATCATTGATCAAATAATATAGATCGAAAACAATAATGGATTTAAAACGGAGCCGTGAGGAACGCCATGCTTCATACTGAAGTACCTATGTAAAATGGTCAAATAAAGTACTCTACTCTAGCACACATACTAGCACACAATGGTAATATAAAACAGTAGTACCTCACTTAATTGTTTAATGGTAAATGAGATATCAGGTAGAATTTGAAAAACCATTATAAACTGGCATTAGGTAAATTTTGAATATGAATAATTCTTGGCATAAAGAAAGAAGGTCAATTTCTACTCGTATTTTCACTGCTTAACTGCTTGTCACACAGTTTTGAAATATAAAACTTTCATTCATTGAATACCGTTTTATATTCATTTCTATGTTTCCCTGAATTGTTTATTACTTTTACTATTTGTTTGCGCGACTTGACTCGACTTCAATCATAATTTTCTCATGCGGTGAACTCAAATTTAGGAAAATGGTACTTGTGAACTAGACTATAAAGGAAAACTATGAATCTCGTAATTTTCGTGAAAAGTCGACTCCGTTCATTGAAGTTTATATTTCGTCAAGCTCCATATCTCTCCAGTCTAGTCGGCGTGGGAGTTACACCCCCCAACCCTATAAGCTGTGCCAAATGAATAAAATCAAATGCCCTCCTCTCTGACAGTCAAAGAATGCCTTCTTGTAGAAGAATATATCTACGAACGTGCGACAAAGAGCACTGAATAATATTCCTATTGTCGAGGGCCTGTCAGAAGGATCTGGACAGAGATGTGTAGACAGTAAACGGTTTAAAGGAATTTCAGAAAAAATGTATATACCTACCATGAATAGGGAGAAAATTCAATAACCATAGAAGGAAGTAACAAGCCTTTTCATATACTGCGAAATTGGTATAAAAGGATACTTCTTGATACTACTGATGAAATCCCCTCAATCCCCGGCATTTATATTCAATGTACAGAGTGTTCATGTCAAAACTCCCACGAAACTTGAAAATGTCGTTGAGTGCAAAATCACATTTATTATTAGTAAAAAAGTGAACAATTTTATTGCTTTTATACGTTGATAATTTACAAGGAAACAAAATTCAACAGCTTTTTTGTTGCGTAGGATTTCATGCGACTGTTGTTTACTAATTTGAGGTCGCTGATTTCAAATTTCCAACAGCTCTAGTTCTCAAGATACAGCTTTTGATCATATTTGTGTTCTAGTTACAGTAATCTCCCATAAAACCGAGTGATTCTTTCACAAATTGATTTTTTGCTACAGTGTCTACATCGAGGAATATCTGTAAAAACGATCCCAACTATTTGGGTAACATCTGTGGTGAATAGAAATTGAAAAATTATAGAGAAAGTGTGTCGGAGTTCGTAAAACGCATCTATCTTGATTACTTTGGATTTCCAGTGGAAACCCGTGACAAGTACTGAGTGCCTGATATGGTATGTAAAACATGCGTTGAGTATTTGAGATTATTTATTTATTTATTCATTAATTTTGAATTCGTGAAAAGCGTGAATGTCGCCGTTTCTTTCGTATTTACAACAAAATTTTGTTTCAGTTGATCCGGAGAGATCCCTCAAACCATCAGAACGATTACCATTATTGTATGGTTGATATAAACAGGATCAATGAAAGAAAGCGGTTCAAATGTTTCCACTCTAACGTGTTATCTATTACTCGACCAATCGTGTACTCTGATGGTGCACCAGTGCCACAAGCATCTTCATCTACACAAAATGGTAACGATTCACGTGAAAAAGTCTCTTCTTCAAGTGATAAAAGTGGAACAACTGATTTTAATCTAAATATTTGTCCTGAGCCCTGAGAGCTGGGTTCGTTACCAAAAGCACATTCAACTAAAGTCGAAGAAAAATATGTTAATGTGGTTTCTGTTATGGAGGAAATCAAATACCACAAACACACAAACACAAGTGGCTCATATGTGTAGATCTAGTTTATTAACTTTTGGTTTACATAAGTTACATTGGTTGTATGGGGGAATCCTGCTTTAGGCTCTTATCTCTCCAGGATTAGGATTAGTTCACTATCTGTCTTAATCTACTTTCATGTAACTTAATCTAAGTTTTCATTGCGGTGGTTGGTTTTTGAGGGTTGAGGTTAGGTTAGGACAAGGGTGGTAGGGGTGAGGCTTCAGTGTATTCCAGGCTGTGTCCTGTCCACTATCTGATTACCAGTGGGTACTCCTCAAGGATGTCCTGGATCTGCTCAGTCGGATCTTCCATTGCTCCCAGGATTCTGGCTGGTGGAAACCGGAGCTTCTTCCTCGGAATCCTTCTGGGGCCTCGAGGCATCCAGGAGGTGGTCAGTGTTGATGGCTGCGGTGTTGATGGCTGCGGTGTTGTTGCTGCTCATTGTTTTTGCGGCGTATGGGCCTTGGAGTTCCTGAAATCTTAGTTTCATTGGGGTAATTTTTATTGTCTTATACAAATATTGAGAGCTGTACCAGCTAAAGCTGGAACGAAAAATCTGACTTCAGATCTAACATCATCACCACGAAAATGTATAATACCAGTCATAATATCCCGTGCAACAAAAAGTCTGTTTCCTCGTGAATATATTGTCAATGTTTAAACCACACTCACTTAAATAATTATTATTGAGATCGAAAGTTATAAATGAACTGCGTTTTTTGTCACAATTCCAATACCTAAAAGACTATTTCCGTCTTTTCTATGATTTTCAATTCCTCTTGCAGTTGCTATTTTCCTTTCCGTCTTATTCGAAGAAATCTTTGGGCTGGAGTCGTGGGAAAACACGTAATCAAAGATTATTATTTGTCAAAATTGTTAATACTGTCAATTTCATTCTGGACCTTTTCTTTGGTGTAGGTAATTCTACTCATTCTGCTGATGCCATCCGTGAATGAGAAACATCTGCGAGTAAGTGTCTGTTGCATGTAAATCAATGTCCATCGTGATATTAGCCGAGGAAGTAGTTGTTTTCCAGCAGGCATTTACCAGAATTTAGTGTGTAGGTACGTTGGGAGAAATTGATGTTTCGAGATTTCATTTTCAAATATTTATTTTTTTACACACACGTATCTCTCCTCGATATCTAAAGTCTTCAGACTCAATTCGAATCCTTAGTTACAAGGTCAAAACTATTATTTCAATGTTTATAATGCTGATGAAGTTCCTATGCATATGTCTAATATCGATATTATCAATGGGCTTGTTTCATGATTTTTGGTCTAGTTCATTTGGTAGTAATTTCAAATTGAAAAATGACGTACTTTGTTACAGCTCTCTAAATAGCGTTGTTTTCCTGTAATTAATTATTAAAAATCTGATTTTCTAGGCCCGTGACGTCACGGGCCTAGTCCCGCTTCTTGTTCGATTGACCAATAGGAACAATACAAATAATGAACATTGCCAAATTGTAAAATTCACGGAGCGTATAAACAGATTCTGATTCATTCGTGATTCAAAGTAAAATCACACTCACTTACGACAACTTCNCCAAAATTCCCAGTATATCGGAACATTTCAATATGTCTTCTATAATCCGAGTTTTCAACAAATTAGAGTCCATCCTTTAAGTCCTCGGGGAGGTCGTAGAGGCCGCAAACTTTGTTAGCAGGCAGGGCTTTATCTGAAACAAAACACAACTATGGAAATTAATCCGAAGTTGGAATAGAAGCGACGAAATCGGTTTCCCATCATTAAACTTGCCGTAAGGGATGATAATTCCATGTATGAGAAATGACGTTGTTAGTAACTGCTAAAATTGTGATTTGGCTCAATGGCAGATACGAAATAACGATTAGATTGAATCGTGGAGTGATGGAGGAGGAGATAAATCCAGGATATACTCAACCCAGCAATTAATCTGCCAAGACAATAGCGATACCGAGTGGATTGATTTCGAAACTTCAAGAAAGTTAATATTAGTGTTGCCACCAAGTAACGAGATTATCGTCTCTTGTCGTGTCTCAGGCAAGAGAAGATTTTTCTCTTGAAAAACAGTATCTCGACAAGACAAGAGATTGGGTCATCTTGTCCAAGACAAGAGCGGGATATTTTTTATCGCAATCCTCATTTTGTGAATCACAGTTGATACCTTCATTCTACCATCTTTGTTGGAAAAGAGCTGTATGTGAAGTTTAACTCTATGATTTTCGAGTGAAAATTCTCAAGTCAACAAAAAAAAAGAGACGGGTAGCAGCAATCCATCATCGGCTCTGTTTTCCGAACGTCGAAGAAAATGGTTACCTCAGTTAATTTTGATTTTATTTTTTATAGTTTGTGGGCGTAGATCGAGACAAACCAGAGATTATTCTGTTTTGGTTGATTTCCGGGTTGGCCGTGGTCTTCTTTGGTTATAATCTACAAACGTTTCAACTGCAACTGCGTTGCTGAGGTGTGTACAGTTTTTGAGAAGCAGCCTTTGCAATTCAAGCGACATGATTGTGTCAAGACATGTTGGTGTCAATTTTAATAATCGTTCCCAAAGCCTAGAACAAAGTGGTTCCTTTCGAAGAAAAACTCGATATGGGGAATGAAGAGCTCCAATAAATTCAGCTCCTCTCATTCTACACAATGGATGAAGAAAAACAGTGACCGGTCGGTCAATACCGATAATAGTAATAGATCACTCAAAATCCTGTCATTGGAGAATATCGTCATAAGAGCCAACATTAGAGATGAAGCACAGACAACCGACCCCGGAAATAACTGGGAGCTCGCCAATGGCATAAGGAAGATGTATGCATTCTGCGATGGAAGAATACAATGGATTCTGTTGATGAAGGAACTGGTTCAAACTGTAAAATCACGAGAAAAAATAATATCAATGATGCGGTAACCGTGTCATTTAGTTCGAAGATTAGTTCGAACTCTACTTGCCTTACAAGCAACGAGACGAAAAGAACAGTGAACAAATGAAAAAATTAATTGATTCGTAACACTTCACTGAACTCACCAATTTGCTTAGGATAGCTCAAATTGAGGTTGTTCATGATCCGGATGAACTCCTGCAAGCTCTTCGTCAACCTCGGATTGAGTCGCTTCTCCTCATTTACCGAAGTAACCATCCTGCCAGTGTAGTCATGCGCTGGATAAAGCAGAGTCGATTCCGGAAGAGAGAATATCTTATTGTGCACGCTGTGGTAGAGCGTTTCAGGATTGCCCTCCTGGAAATCGGTCCTGCCGCATCCGCGAATCAGGAGAGCATCTCCGGTGAAAGCGATTCCCTGGAACAAAGGAAGGTATATTGGTGGGAAAATACAATGAGCGCCGTTTGCATTGGGGAGAAAGCGTTAGTCAACATATTGTTCAGTTTTATTGCAGCGCTCACGAACCGTAATTTTTGAAAGGCGTTTATATAATATTTGATAATTCAAATGGTACTTTTTTTACATCATACGCCAGTTCATAAACGAATCGAAATAGTGAGAGGCCAATGATACAAGGTACGATAGGTTGCCTTTTACGTTTCGGGATTTGGCAACCCTAGTGTTGCAATCTGGCAACTGACAGCTCTATCGTAAAGTTGGACATTTTTGAGCTTATACGTACTCAAAACGTTTTGATACAGTGTGACCCATTTAAGATGGAAGCACCCTTATAAAACTTACTTTTTTTAACCGATTGGAATGATTTTTTTTTTGTTAGGTAGNGGATTAAGTCAGCAACAGTGCATGGATGAACTTAATTCAATTTTTGGCGATGAAGCTCCAACAAGGACCAGTGTTTATCGATGGTATGGTGAATTCAATCGTGGTCGTAGTTCACTACAAGACGAATTTCGTGAAGGTCGTCCACAATCAGTTGTTGTTCCGAAAACCATTGATGCTGTGCGCAAACTGATATTGCAAGATCGTCATGTGGCCTATCGTGAGATTGAGACAACCTTAGGCATCAGTGGAACCAGCATACATTCAATTTTGACTGTCAAAAAAATTTGTTCCCGTTGGATCTCACACAATTTGTCAATCGCTCAAAAAAGGCTCGTGTCGATTGGTCGAAGGAAATACTCAAAAAATTCGATCGTGGTGCTTCGATACACGTCTATGACATCGTGACAGGTGATGAATCATGGATTTACGCGTATGAGCCCGAAAGTAAACAGCAGTCGACTGTATGGGTTTTGAAGAAGGGCCAAATCCAACAAAAGTTGTTCGCGCACGAAGCACTTCCAAGCAAATGGTCGCCTGTTTTTCCGGAAAAACCGGACATGTCGCAACTATTCCACTAAAACAACGCAACACAGTCAATTCTGAGTAGTACACAACCATTTGTTTGCCAGTTGTCTTCCAAGAAATCAGGAAAACCAACCGCCGAAAACGGATCACTCTTCACCACCACAATGCGAGCTCTCACACATCGGCTCAAACAACTACATTTTTGAGCTCACAAAACATCAATTTGATGAGTCATCCGCCGTATAGTACTGACTTGGCACCGAATGACTTCTTTTTATTTCCGCACGTAACAAACAAACTGAGAGATCAACGTGTTTCGACACCTGAAGAAGCGGTTGCTGCATTCAGAATGCATGTTTTGGAGATACCACAATCAGAGTGGCAAAAGTGCTTCGATAATTGGTTCAAACGCATGCAAAAGTGTATTCTACCCTAAAAAAACAAATGTATGCGTCGATATATGGTAATGGATGGAACATGGCTCCATCCCTGCAAATCAGAATCAGAACGACGATGGACTGAGTGGACTGCACTTGGTGACCCGACTCCAAAGTGTGTAAAGATGCAACACTCGGCTGGCAAGGTTATGATATCAGTAATTTGGGATGCGCGTAGTATAATATTCATCGACTATCTTCAAAAGGGAAACCATCAATAGCGACTATTACATAGCGTTATTGGAGCGTTTGAAGGGCGAAATCGCGAAAAACGGAAAAAGAAAAAGAAAGCGCTGTGTCAACAAGACCATGCACCACGTCACAATTCAATGAAAAAAATGGCAAAATTGCATAAATCGGGCTTCTAATGGCTTTCGCATCAACTATATTCTTCCGATCTGGCCCTCAGCTACTTTTTTCTGTTTTTAGACCTCAAGAGAATACCAGCTGGAAATACACTCGTATTTAGCACCCATGGAGGGATAGTCGTCGAAACGAGGCTAAAGACATATCGTGTACTATAAAAACTGTATGAAAAAATTGTTTGACCGCTATAATTTTCGTATAGCTTTCTTTCCCTTTTGTATCGCTTTGTAATGAAATCAAATTCTATGATATTTTTTCTATGTCAGCCCACGCATTTTTCAGCCCAACTGTCAATCTAGTTGAGTAAAAAACATGGAGATACAATAACTTTTCAATGGTGAAGTTGCTAGGTAGATGGAAAAACAGCTTCATCTTTTGTAGATTATTCAAAACACTTTATAGAGTAGACGTATTCATCTGCTCGACTGCTGTGAATCTGTTTGAGCACTTCTCTGATATGTGGTAACGGTAGGATCTTCCGGTATACAACGGTATTTTTATCCGGGCTCTTTCACTAGCGACATTACGAAACAGAAAATCCCAGCCCAGCAGCCTTAGAAACTGATCTCAGATTCATGTAATTCCATTTAATTTTTCCAGGATAAGCCAATATCGTTCATCGAAGTTCAATCGTATAGCTATGGCAAGTCTCTGCAAGGTATCTATAATCTCGCATGACAACAGCCCTGCCCGTCTCGGACGGTGCTATCTGAGTGTGAACATAATTTTGATACGGTTAAATGGAAGCCACCATATACCAGTCAATACATTTAGAAGCAAATATATAGAATGATTCCTGGTTTCACTGGTAATGTTGAAAAACGACCCTAGCCATAGCAAAATTGTATTCGACTCCAAACAATCAATCAAACGATTATTTTTGAAATATTCAGATTGGTATGCAAGACCCAAATTCATGTTTGAACAAGCTGACAACAATGCCACATCTTCCATCCAACAAGATTTTAAAAGTGATCAGTGTTGCCTTTTGTACGAAATATGGTACACACACCAAACACACTTGTTACATTTACGTAAACATGACATAAAATTAACGGAACATGTTTATGTAATACATTTAAGTAAATACTATTACATTTTTAAGATAATTTTACCCCATATTCACATAAATAATTTGTGTAAAAACTAACGTTGACCTAAAAATACACGTCAATATGGTATATTAGGTTTCACTTAATTCCTATGTAAAGTTGTTACTTCAATATTACGTTCGCTGTGTTTTCAGCTTGTAACATCCAGGCGCACTTGACTTTTTGGCCACACTGCAAATGATAATATGTTCATATGTAGAAGGCAATTTCAAGCCATTTCATAAAAACAATTAAGATCTTCACGACCCTTTATCTGCGAATGTCATTATATTTCTTGCATACTTAATAGATGTAGAATAACAAACTAATCAAGTAGGTACATCCCCAAAAAGCTGAATTTGCACCGCTTATTCAATGGAAATTTGTAATCCCCTAAAAAGGGTATCATAATACCTATATAAAACACATTTCTCAGCGACTTCGTTAGAATAAATGAAAGCCATGGTAAAAATCAACTCTTACCTCTTCGGCAATATAAAATGAACAGCATCCATTAGTGTGGCCTGGAGTATTCAAAACTTTCAGTTTGAAGTTTCCGAAAGAAATCATATCACCTTCATCAACGAATATATCAGCCAGAGCTCCACTAGATTTTGAAATAATACTCCTGCACCCAGAAATAGTTTTCAACAGACCTGACCCGGTGATATGATCAGCATGCATGTGGGTATTTACTGCAAAAAAGACAAGAAACTGGAGTAATTACTTTTTCAAGATAACCTTTTACTTTTTCATTCATGAGAATCACTTTATCCGCCCCTGTAATTCGGTTGGTATCAATTTCCAGTTAGGAATTAGGCCAATATTTATTAAGGTATCCATACTTACCGACGTAAACCAAATTTAAATTCAAATCTTTTGTCAGTTGAAAGTCCCGCTTCACATGTTCCAACACTGGGTCGATAAGGATGCACTCTCTAGTTGATTGGTCTCCCAGCAAATACGTGTAAGTGCTACTTACCGTGTCGAAAAGCTGTCAAACAAGTTCCATTACCCGACAATGAAAAAAACTATATTATTGTGTTCTCACCTGTCGAAAAATCATCGCACTAGATGATGTACTGTATTTTTTGGAAAATTGTTTCGCACAAATTCTTACGGATGTTGCCATCTTCACTGCTTGATTACAACTCAGAGATATAAATTATCATTTTGTCATAGTTGTCAGTCAAGCGTCTGATACTAGATAAGTATATTTGGTAAGTTATACTCACTCAAGTTATTCATTATTGATCAGGATGGAAAAACCATTGATACTGTTTGATTTTCCTGGAATGAAGGAAACAATACAGCTGCTGCCATCTATATTCAGAATGTTTTAAAGAGACATTTGTTCACAAACTGGAGTTTAGTCTAATATCAATGTTACCGAGTTCAGTGATATTATTTTGTTAGTAAGATACAAGGACTGAATACAATGCACTGTCACTCATGGAGAATGGCAAGAAATATATGTCTCAATCATACAAAGTGAAATTTCTGAATGTACCTCGAAAATTACTCAACGAATGTCAAATGGTCAAAGATGAGTATTAAACGTTTTTAAATGAGCATATTTTTAAAGTATCCGACATATCAGAATGTTCCACTGAGTCTCTAGCATACAAAAAAAACTCATGATCATCGTTTATAAAATATAATTTTCTATACTGAGTGATCAAAAAATATAATTATGGTGGCGGTTACAAAAGTTTTACATATCAGGTGAATCCGATAAATTCAGTGACGCGGATAATTGAGATATTTTTTATGACGATAAACACTCTAACAAATGTTAAATTCAACGGAAAAATACATAGGAAAAATTATGAATACGCTCATTATCCTGACGAAGATTTTGAATGCAAATTTAAAATCTCGTAATCTGGAATATATTCAACTCCAGCGTTATGAAAAGTTATGGAAAAATGTTTTCTGAGAACTTGGTTAATAATCACAATCAAGCTTCTACTCAAAAAAGTTTCCAGGTGAAACCTATGAAGACTAAGAGCCAGTGAACAATTTGACTGCATGAAGTGTTTATAGGTACCTGTATATTTGAGTACAACATATTGCAATTTATTCAATGAACCCTATTAAAATGAACATCAATGTGGGAGCAGCTATATCAGTGTATTGTTCTGAATCATCCCCAAAATAGATGACACCCAGAACATCTTGGCTAAATGCAGATGTTTCTCAACATGAGATCTGAAAAGCGGATATTGACAGGTGGCCGTTTGTTCCGAGGATAAAGAGAAGACAGCCGTTTTTAGCGACATTGGATTATACCAGTTTAAGTTTAATGCCGTTCGGATTATGCAGTGCACCCACAACATTTGAATGCTTGATGGAATTGATGTTGAGACATTCCTGAAAAACATGCTTGGACTATCTGGATGACATTATAGTGACCGGAAAAAGTTTTGACGAACAACTGTCAAACTTGAGGAGTGTTTTCACGAGCCTGCGAAATGCTCATTTGCAGATCAATCCCATGAAGTATTGCGTCTTCCAGGAAATGGTGAATTTCTTGAGACACGTTGTGTTTTCAGAAGGAGTTGAAACAGATCCAGAGAAAATCAAGGCAATGCAAGAATGGCCAACACCGAAGTGCAAGAACGACGTAAGCAGTTTCCTAGAACTCTGTAGCTACCTACTACCGGCGTTTTGTGAAGGACTTTGGGAAAATTGCTGGGTCGCCTCATAGCTTGACTGAAAGGAGAACCCCCATTCATTGGAAACCCATACTGCCAGCAAGTGTTTGCTGCCCTGAAGAGGTATTTGTCCAGCGCACCGGTCCTGGCATACCCAAAAGAAAAGGGCTTGTTTATACTGGACTCGATTGCATTCCAATATGGAATAGGAGCAGTACTTTTCTGGTATAAGAGGAAGATGAAGTCCGAAAAAATTACTGTGACACTAGAAAAGAGCTCCTCGCAGTGCTCAAAGTGGTGGATCACTACCAGTCCTTTTTATATGGCAGTGAATTTTTTATTAGTTCAGACCACTCAGCACTTCGGTGGCTATGGAAAAACCTACGAATTTCAGATGATCGTTCCAAAGACGTGTATATCGAATATACTCGAACAGCTCCACGATGATCGCACTCTAACGAGAGTGGTGAGAGGTACTATTGGGTCAATTGCAGCCGAGACGTAGAAGAGTGGTGTAAGCGCTGTGACATGCTTCCACAGTTTAATACAGTATGGCATTGAATTCTGGTATATGTCAACCCATGTGTATACCACATTCCTGATTCAAAAACGAACTATTCGTATATTGTTTGGTCTCAGTTACAGAATGTCTTGCAGGAACTATTTTAGGGTACAAATAAAGATACTTACAATACTAACGTGTACATTCACTAAATATCATCATCATTATCACACAATACAGAAATGACATACCTACCTACTACAGATTCCTAGATTCAGACATTAGTATTCTGTATCGAGAGGTCAATTAGCAATGGACCTCTTTATACAGGAATCAAAACTTATAATCATCACCAGATGAAATGAAACAACTTTCATTGAACAAATTCAAATATAATCTGATTGAATCATTGCAGTATCATCCGTTTTTTAATATTGGAGAATTTTTTTTAGTAAATTTCAATTTAAATTATTCTTTTTTCGTAATGAAACTTACACTCTTATTCTTATTCTCTTAACTTATTCTCTTTCCGCAAGCCTCGAGCCATTGATATGTATGTATATAAACAATATTTCTAATAGTATCATGTTGTTGTCTCAACTTGGAAATAGAATCTTATCTAATCTAATCTATTGTTACATGAAATATAAACTCAGCGGCTATTGAGCTGTTTCCAATCACCCATCATAATTTTTAAAATTAAAAAATATGAAAATGAATGTGCTTTCACTAAGCTATGATTTGAATCGCCTTCAACTCAATTGGACACCCAGAAATAACAGGCAATGAAAAAAATATGAGTGTGCTAGACATCGATCATCATAGCCTCTAAACCAGCTGTGGAGGTACCAAAATTTGTGGTATGGGGCCAGATCAGAAAGCGGCTTAGTGACAAGAAACATAAACAGTACTGAGAAAATATAACTAAGAAATATTTTCATAAAAAAGCATTTAAGAAAATAATTGAAAAACTGCTTCAACAGAACAGAGAGCGGTTTAGAATAATCACGAAGTCATTTACTGGAGACACTGTTCATTTAGAGGATAATTGAGCAATGTACGGCTGTATAACGAAAACCTTGGCTGCAAGCAATGCAACAGAAAAGGGATAAAGGCACTGGATCGTGAGAAATAAGCAATTTAGAGTTTACTCTAATCGTATCTAGAAGGCCACCAATGGACTGTACAGACTAACTTAAACGGAAAATAAGATTGTTGAAAGGTGAATTCATTTTTTCTACGTCATATTGCTAATACAAGCCTATAAAAAAACATAATATTCTGCAGGTGGTTTGGGAAAGTATAAACAACAGAGAACACGAGGGTAATGACAAAAGTTGTTCCACAATTCCATGCATTCATGCTAGAATTATATTTGTACGTTTTTTCGTCTTTGAATTCAAAGACACTTATCGATCACTCCATCGTTTGAAAGCATCATAAAGAAACACTCATCCAGCAAAGATATGAACTGAAGTTCCTCATCTGTATTTGAATGTAATGATACAATGTACTTGTCATTCCAGATTTTTTCATGAAAAGACTTGTTATTCCTGTGCCAAAATGTACATAAATGCTGTAGATTATTTTTGTTATTGGAGAAAAATGGCCTGCAAAAGTATAATCTTCAATTTTCTAAATGAAAGAGTATTGAAAAATGTAATACGGGCTAATTTGGAACAACTAAAACCATCAAAGAGTCGGGGAAGGATGCTAAAATCCTAGCAATTCTAGCTGTTGAACTGTCTACAATGAAACCACGAAATAAANCGGTAAACTTTCACTAACACAATGGAAAGATAACAAAGTGGTTACCATGGCTACCAATTTCGAAGACACAAGTGTTACATCTGCGAAAAGATGGTGCAGGGAAACAAAATCTAAAAAGAATATTTCCCAACCGAAAGTTATTCACAACTATAATCAGAGGATGGGTGGTGTCGATAAAATGGATGGGCTCGTGGCGGCATATCGATCTAGAATTAGACAAAGGAAGTGGTATTGGCCAATTTTTCAATACTTGTTAGATGTGAGCATAGTGAATGCCTGGTTGCTTATGAAAAAATTGAAACCGCATGATCCCAATTGTGTCAATCTGCTCACTTTTCGGCGGTACATTGCAAACAGTTTTTTGCAAACTCATGGTGAAAAACCTTCAAAATACAAGGCATCTGTTCCTATTCAGAATGTAAGGTTCGATGGCATGAATCATCTTATTCAGTATCATGAGAATGACAAAAAATGTAAGATATGTGGAAAAAATACAAAATTCATCTGTGTGAAATGTAATGTAGGGCTTCACCCAAAACACTGTTTCATAACCTATCATAGGAAACAATAAATACCTAAGAAATTGATGTTGTTTTCAGTCTTCAACATTTTATGGTAAACATGAAATTATGCATGAGGTCCTTTCAAAAGGATGTGCTATAATTTCTCATCTGACGATAAAATTGAAGAAGTAATTATCAAAACATTTTGAACACAACACATTTGAAGTATTTCTATGAGGAAATTTGATAAATTCTAATAAAAAATTTTCTATGCACTAATGGGATAAACTTCAATTTTCCAAATGAAAGAGTGTTGAAAAATGTAATACGTGCTAATTTGGGACAACTAAAACCATTAAAGAGTCGGGGAAGGATGCTAAAACTCTAGCAATTCTAGCTGTTGAACTGTCTACAATGAAACCACGAAATAAAGAGTTAAAACTGGTGTTTTGATGCAAAAGAAATTCATATTTCGAGCAGCAGAGAAGACAGTTTGACTAAAGTCAAATGCTCGATAGAACTAGCGCTACTATCCAAGATAGATAAGTAACAGAAATACAAAAAACACAAAGTTCAACATAAAGAAAGGGGAATTACCGCAAATGAAGTTTGGTTATGTGCACGAGTATCCCAAGATGCATACAATATCCCTGGTAGGATCATTTTGATCCTCTTCCCATGTGAAATATTGTCAAAAACTCTCGACCTACGGCAATCTTGATAAATAAATGATAAAGAGATCCAGTAAATGTCAGTATTTCTATGCATCTTGGGATATCCGAACCTCAATCAAGGCAACTAACACTGTGTTTGTTTCCTCACCATCTTTCTTTGAGTGTACAGCAGTTTAGACCGAACC